GAACAAAACAAAGAACACAGTTCAGAACCTGTTGAACAATACAAAGAACAAAGCACAACACAAAGGAGAAAGTGAACTGTATAACAGCGCTTTTTTAATTGGGGAGGATGGCTACAGAAGAACAGAAGCTTTGTTGTCAAGCGCTTTGTTCTTTATATTGTTCAACAGGTTCTGAACTGTGTTGTTCTTTGTTTCTACGTTCTGTGTATCTACCAAGTTTTTGTTTTAGGAGGGAGGAAAAAATAGACAATTTTTAAAAATAAAGTTTTTATTAATGCACAAATCTTTAATGGTAATGAAAAAAAATCAAAAATGAAAAATCGAATAGCCAAATATATTTATTTGAATTTTATTTCGTGCGAAAATTTTACACATTTTTTCAGCAATAAGTTTCCGTTCATAAATCCGTTATTTATGAACGGAAACTTATTGCTGCCATAGACTTCCATTATAACTTTTGGCGGGCCAGTAACGTTCGATGGCGGGCCGGTAGTGGCCCGCGGGCCGCCATTTGCCCATATGTGGTGTAAACTGTCGAACTATATAAATTGGGAAAATTCAATTGAATCATGAGGCCATTACGGAAAGGATAAACACAACAACAACAACAACACTAATTTCACGAGAACCAATTGAACTATGTAAAAGAAATTAAGATTTTTGTTTGATTTTCGCCTTTTGAAAACCGAAAAAAAAAAATCCAAGTCAAGTAGCAACAAAAAAAATGCCTTAATCCATTGATGAATTGATGCAAAATGGAAAAAACAACAACAGCAAAAAAAACATTTTTGCATTCTGAATATTGGATTCTTTTCGTTAGTTCAACAATATTCGATCTTTTTTTTTTCTTCTCTTTTTCGAAAATCGATTCAATTGCCAATTTATTGTCTCTCAAAACGAAACACAAAAAAATAGAAGAAAAATAAAAGAATATTCTTCTCCATTTTACTGAGAGATTGATTATATTATATTGGTTTTTTTTATAATTTTGGCAAAAATGCAAAACATATGCATTCTTTGTGTGTGTTTGTTTGCTGCTTGGTTGGTCTTAGAAATGATGTTTTTGGTTATGTTTTTCAATCTCTTTTTTTTCTTGTTATTCATTCATCAATGACTATGTGTGTGTGTGTGTGTTTCTGCGTTACAATATTTCTTTCATCATCAATGTTTTTTCTATTTCATTTATGGAAAAAAAAAGATTTTCATTTTTTTTCCATTCTCCTAGCTACAAGTTCAAGAACAGAATTTACACAGAATGCACACAAATTGGATATATATGAAATCTATAGCTCATCATCATAATCATGATGATGACGTTGTTGTAGTTGTAGTTGTTTTGTTTGCAAAAAAAAACCTGTGTGTGTGTGCGGATCTTTCATTTGATTATCATCATCATTTTTGGTTTGGAACAAGTAAAAATGATGAAAATTGTCAGCAAAAATTCAAAATTTGTCATTCCATTTTGAATTTTGAATTTTTTTTCTTTTTTTTGCAAAACAGAAAAATGTATCAATTTCACTTTATTTTACTTTTTTTTGTTTGTTTCATTCATTCATTCGTCTATTGTTAGCATTTTTTTGTTATGTTTGGAGAGACAAAATTTGTATTCAGATTTCAATATAAAAGGAGCCCGAAGGAAATTTTCATTTACACTGTACTGTCTTTTTTTTTGTTCTTTATTTTTAGTTCCACCATCATAACTTAATGTCTTTATTTCAAGATTCATTCCATTTCATTCATTCATCCGTTGATTCATCACCATCATATATTTTTTTTCCCATCATATAAAAAGAAATTGATAGAAAGTAAATGTGGATGTGATGGATGAAATGAAATGAAATGAAAATAAAGAAAAAACATCATCGATGATGCTATGTAAACGGGGAAAGAATAAGTTTCTCTCTCTCTCTGTCATCGATTCTCACATGGTGGATAGATGACAGATATCGTTATGAAAGAGACCAAGACGATTTTCGTCATCATTACAGGTTGAAGAAAGAGAAAGAGAAAAGAGAAAGGACAAGAATTTTTTTTTCTTTCACCCACAAAATATATGGTCCAAACAAAAATATTTTGTATTGATGAAATGTTGAAAAACGGGTGATAATAATGTTGAATGCAATGAGTGAAAAAAAATAAAGAATTTTTGTTGAATAAACAAAAAGTATGAGATTCATAAAATAAAATTTTCATCTTCTTCTTCTTCTTTTCTTCAATCATATGAACACGGGTCATTGAAATCAAAAGAACCGTAACGAATAATTGAATATACGAAAATGAAAGGAAAAAAAAATTTACATCAAACAACTATTCTGGGCACATATGTTCAACGAGAAAAACAAACCAATGAGGAATCTTATACGATTCTTTTGTTGCTTGTTTGTTATTTGCTGTTGTTTGTCATCATCATCATCATCATCATCAAAACATGGGACAAGTAAACAAAAACATGGGAAAAAAAGAATATTTTTTTCATTGAAAGAAGAAACAAAACAAAAATAAAAACCTATTGCTAAATGCCAAATTCAAACACACACACACACTGTTAACATAAACAATAAAATGATGATTGGGATGAACGAAAAATCAAATCTGAAAAATTCTGTGTACACACACACATTGTAGTAAACAAGAATATGATGGCAATAAAAAAGGGGTTAAAACAATCAAAATAAAAATGATGTCAAAAAAAAATTGATTTTCATAATCATCATCGCCGTCGTCGTCAATATTCATAGATGAAAGAGATTCAACAAAAAAAACAATTAATGGTTGTAAGTTGGATTTTGTGAAAAAAAAGACACGCAACTAGAAAAATATAGAAATCACCATCATTGCCATTATCGATGTTGTTGTTGTTGTTGTTGTCGTCGTTGAAAATGAATATAACTTTTTTGGATGTCGACAAAAAAAACAGAACAGAACAGATTGATATATGGAAAAAAATTACATAATACACACACGAACACATGCACAAAAAAATGGAACACAACACAATTGGAATTTTCGCACATTAACAGTCCATAAGAATTAATGTGGATTTTTGTGTGTGTGTGTGTGTGTGGAACAAATAAAATAGAAAAAAAGGCAAAAGGAATTTCGTTGTTATTCGTTTTTTTTCTTTCTTTCTCTCTCTCACACACACACATATTCATTGAATTGGGAATTGGATTTATATTGCAAAAATGGACATAAATATCAAATCAAATCAAAAAGAAAAAGAACTTGCATTACGGACAACAAAAAAGGTTTGGCGCCCAACCTGCAAATGCCAAATAACAACAACATACTGTGTTTACATGTGTTAATAAAAGTAACACAAACACACACACACACACACATAATTGAAAACAGTAGCAGACCACACAGTGAAGAAAGATACGATTTCTTCATAATAATTATCATCATCATCACTATCATCTCGAATTCATTCCTGTATTGTAACATTTAGCATTTGAACATGATGTTGGGGATGATCGATGAATAATTGTGCGCCTGTGCATACAACAACCTGAACAAAAGTAACAAAAATTCATCAATTCATGCGCAGATTTTATTTTTGCAGACAAAAAATGATTTTGTTTGAATATTTAACCAAGAATATATCCTAGTATAAAATCCACACTAACAAGATGTTAATAATGTGTGCCTAAAACATCTTGTTGTTTCAAGATACAACACAAACGCAAGTAGTGGGTATTTGAAGAATGTAAGCTTTTTCTGGAAAAAAATATCAATCCCGGAAAAGAATCAAGAAAAAAATTTTGAAAGAATCATAAGAGGCTTGAATCTATTCACAATCTCTTAATCTCCATCTATTTAATAATAATGTCCTGTTATCATCATCATCATCATCATAATCATAATGATGATATTCGGTAGTCGATGATAGAATATATATTTTTATATCTAAATCAGAAGAATATATAGAATATTTAATGAACACTCAAACACAAAGAGATTCTGATTGATATTCAAGCAGATTCGCTGTGATAAAATTGTCAAAAAAAAACTTTACTTTTTTTCTGTATAAAATAAAAGACTATAATAATAAAAAGAGATGTAATGTAATAAATTTTTATATTTTGAAAAACTTTGTTTAGAATTTTATTTCAGACGAACAAAATCCGGAACAACTTTTATTAATTTTGTTCATTTAATAGCATCTTTTATGATCAGTTTTTTCTATATCTAAACTATGAAAACTAGGTTATTACAACCATTATTACAATCGATGAGAATGGAATTAATTTTATTGAAAATGATCAACAATCCATTATTATAATGATGAATGGTGATTTACATTTTTTTTCAATGTGTTCAATATATATGAATTTAATGTGATTGAAGAGAAAAAAAACGAAATGCAATTTTTTTTTGTTGAAAAAAATGAATTTCTAGAAAAATTCACAAATCAAACACAATTACAAAAAAAAAAAAAATTAACGTTTCAAACAGAAAAAAAAGTTTCAAGCTTTTCTTCCTATATATAAACGACACACATAAATGGAAAAAGGATTTTCACTCTTGTTTTTTCGTTTCGTTTCAACGTTTTGTTTGTTTTTTTTTCATACATAGATGCACAAAATAATTCTGTAAATTAAATCGCCTTAAACCAAAAGTTTTGAATGAAAAACGACCGATAATTCTTGATCCTGGAACCAAATTTTTTTTTAGGCTCCTCTTTCTGAAAACCAAAAACAGAATTTGTTTTCATTTCCAAAAAGTGTTTTGTCTATCTATGACAATAACTCACACGAATCAAATGTGACAACAACAACAACAAAAAAAAAAAAAAACGGGAATGTCAATCCAAAAACTGTCACATACACATAAATTAATAGAAGATATGAATTTTGCAAACTTTGACTTTTGTTTTCTTATGGCTACAATGACTGAATTACAACAAAAAGGACGACAGAAAAAGCCCATATATTCATTATTGATTCTTGTGATCGAACATTGATTATTAAATAAATAGAAAAAAAATTGCTACTCACGCAATATCTTCCAACTTCATTCCTTTTAAACGTGAGTGCAATAATGCACAGGTTCGTTGATCAGATATTTCAACAGCACGTCGACGTTGTCGAAAACGTGTAGGTGGTATACCTTCACCAGTCGATATTGACATTCGTGATGATTGTCGTCTTGTTTGACTAGGTGCCGGTGATTTCGATGCGGTCTGACGATTATTATTATTAATGTTGTTGCTACCTGATTGATTTGATTCAATTGTCGATTGTTTACGAATTCGAACCGTTCCACCGGTATCTGATGTTTCCTTTGAATCACGATAACTATCTTGGCTTTGGAGCCTTCTTCTTGGATGTACGCCATCACCATTTTCATCATTATCATCCGGTTCTGTAGCACCACCACCACCACCAGAAATATCTGGTTCAATCATCGATAACCTATGTTGATTCGATGCTGATGATCCTCTACGACGGCCAATATGGCGACTACCACTGACACCAATCATTGTTGTCGTTGTGGTTTATCTTTTTTTCTTTTATTTTTTGCCGTCGTCTACGTTTTCGTTTTAGTTGTTTAGTAACGGTCATCCACAATGGTTATGATTTTTTTTTTGCCAGAAAAAAAATAAACAAAAAAATCATATGATGTGTTCTATTATATATTTGAATAATTCTGATAATTTGGATATGGAAATTTTTTTTTCTCTCAACAACAACAACAAAAAATGGTTGTGAATCAAGAAACTTTTTGTCGAAATGTGAGGAAACTATTTTTAAAAAATGAGAATAAAAAGAGAATAAAAAAATTAGAATATATTTCAGCTATAAATGAATTCCCAAGAAAGCAAAAAGTAAACAGAAAAAAAATTTACCTGAAAATAGAATGAAATGAAATAAAAGCAAGCAAGCAAACAGAAAAATGTATAGGATGATGATGATGAAAATTGATTCAACTCGATTTTTTCGATAATCAAATCATCAATGAGATTTAGTTGTTGTGATTTGCATCGGAAATTTTAAATGGAAATGATGAAATGGAGAAGGCACTGGTGTATTGTATTGTATTGTATCTGATGAAATGAAAGTATTGAATCTTGAAATTTGAATGATGATGACGATGATGATAAATTTTTACATTAGCTACTGTCGCTAGTGTCAGCAATTTTTACAATAAAAACAAATGATGTTATATTTCCGGATAGAAAAACAGGTGAGTGCCAATAATAAAATCAGGTCACAGAATTCTATCAAAGATAATGATCATCATTTCATTTGAAGACAATTTGTTGATTGCAAAACGGCAATGATATTTGATATAATGATGAGATGATCTTTCATCTCATTAAAAATAAAATGATGACGGTACAACGAACGAAAACATGAAATATGAAACGAATGCGGGATGAGTCAATTTGTTCGAAATGAAATTTTCTCTATAAATCACCGATGAATTTATTGTTGTTTGTTCTCAATCAAACATGATATAGATCTAGATCATCATCATTATTATCGTTTGTCGTTAGACGAAAAAATCGTTATAGTTGATTTGGGAAATTATTATCCACAACACAAGGCAGGTGTTTCTTGAATTTGATTTCCAATTCATTTTTGATCATTTCTGTACAACATTTGCGAATTCATATTCATTATTTGTGTGTGGTTTGTATCGATTTGGCATTATTAGTTGTCGACAAAAGCCTTTTTCGTTTTTTCTTCATTATTGTTGTTCATCATCATCATCATAATCACAAAATTTCCAAATTTAACTTTTCACTGGCTTCGTGTTTTGTGCACTCAATTTTTCAATAAAGATTGCATCCAAAGTGATGGAATTATTTTTCTTACTTTCTTCTTTTAATAATCAATTTAAAAATTCAAAAGAAACAGACTTTATTTCGGTGCAACTGAAGATTAAAATTTCCAAAGAATTTTTTCAATATTTCAATATAATCATTATCCGTATTTTCGTTGGTCGCCGAAATAGAAATTTCATTCCATTTCAATTCAATTTTGAACAAATGTAAAATGAGAATTTAATCGGATCATTACTTTAATTTGTTTTTGTTTTCATATATCTCTGGATATTTGGTTTCATGCCTGATTATCACCAATGAGCAAAACCAAAAACAAAAAAAAAAAATGAATTCGGGCGTTGGTTACAATATTATTTGTGTGTTTGTGTGTGTGGAAATTTGTATTTGAAATGCAGCATGAACAATTTCGAAATGAATTATTTCTAAATTAGGGCAGTTTTGAATCATCATAATCATCGTGGCCACATAATCAAAACAATAAATTATAGGCTGATAAAAAAACGGATTTGATTTTGGTTTTTCCATTCATCTTGGACCCTAAAATGGAGAAAAAATAATAAAAAATCAGATGAAAAGAATAAATTAGTAATAATAAAAAACAAAAAATAAAAACACAATTCTGCCATCTAGTATGGCTAATTAGAATCAAATCAAACATTTTATTATTTTCGATACTAGATGGCATTGAAAAAAAATTCAAGAATCTAGTTTTTTTCATTATTTTTGTTACAATAAGCCCACAAAATGGATGGAAACTTTTGTTTTGTTTTGTTTTGATAAATTCATGACCCAAATATATGTGGAATAATGATCATCAAAAAATTATCAAACATAATGCATACACACATCTGTCACATACACATGCACATGTATGATACAAATGAAATGAATGTGTATATAAAATAAGCATCAAAGAACATTTTTATTACATTTCCAACAAGTAAAATGATTGATTACATAAAAATATTTTGTCAAACTATTTTGGCAACTTTAGACCTGTATTGTTATTCTGTTGCTGTTGTTGTTGTCGTTGTTGACGTATTCATCATCTACTTTTAATATATATTCAAATCAATTTCACGCACATTTTTAATTTAATGGTCAGTTGTAATTTTTTTTCTCTTTTCTTCCATCGAAAATGTAATAAATTGCCAAATGTGAATCGAATCGATTTGTTGTTTGGAATCGAACAAAACCAAACGGGAAAAAAAATAAATAAATTCCACTTTCACTAATAAATCATAAGAATTTGAAATGAGAAAATAAATGTGGCATATGTGAAAGGAAATAGGATTATCATGATAATTTTGTTTTTGTGATTTCTGAAGCAATTGAAGCATTTCGTCGGAATAAATTTGTTAATCGAGGTGTCACTGTATTTAGATTAAAAAAAATTTAATTCTATAGAATGGATCTGCAAAAAAACTGTCAAAAGTCTGACATTTGTAAGTGGAAATAAGTCCCAAAAAAAAAAAAAAATTCAATCCAAACCAAACTAAAAAAAACATTTAGTTTGGAGTTTATCGCATTGTAAATTACACGCAGCATCTCAAATGACTACCAATGATGATGATGATGACACACACACACACACACTCATGTACTACACACTAATGTAATTGCAAACAAAGAATCTGATTTCAGAACATATAATATGAAGAATAAACTTGTCTTTAACATTCACATCATTTTCATTTTTTCATGTTGTTTGTTGTTTGTCATCATTTTTTTTTTGTTTAGTGATATTACAAATACATTTTCTCATTTTAATTTCAATAATAATACATGACTACATATGTGCGTGTGTATGAATGTCATTTCTGTTGTTGACCAGATTTTGTTCATTTTTTGGTATTTAAAGATTTTTTTTTTGTTGAAGAAAAAAAAAACTTATTCTTGATGTCATGTCTAGAATCAATCGGATTCATACATACATTTATATTATATATGAAATTTGAATTCAATTTTTCTCTTATAATAATCACATGAAAATCAAAATTTGATCGAAAAAATTTTTTTTTATGTCGAGACAAGAAAAAAAACGACGATTATATAATATATATTTGTAGTCATTAACATTGCCATAATCATCGTCGCCGATGACATGGACAGCAACAACGACAAGATTTTATTCCTTTTTTTTATTATCATTTCACAATCATGGTAATTATTTTAATAATACACATTCTCATTGTCATTGACATTTTTTTGTTGTTGTTGTTGTTGTTGTTGTTGTTGTTGCATGGACATAATCAGATCAGTAGTTTGTTGAATTATATACTAATTTTAATGGAGAAAATAAAACTATATCTGTTGTCATTAACAACAACAACAACAACGACAATATATTCTTATTATAATTAAATTGTATGTAATGATGATGATGATGATGATAATTTTTATTCTTTTTTGGTACCCCGGAAGTGATGCAAACAACAAAAAAAAGTATTAAACAAACAAAACTAATCACTTGAAAAAGCCAAAGTTTTTTCAAGTGATATATTAAAAATGGACAGTTTATCGTTTTCATCGATAAACTGATATATTATGATTTTCGTACATCATTCATCCATCCAAACTGAAAAATGATGAATGCCAAAAAAACAAAAGTAAATTGAATTGAAAAATTGGTTCTACACACACACACACATACATACACATTATATAACTGGAAACAAAATTCTTTACAGTTGTTGGTTGACAACAATAAATGATATATAGGGTGTGGCATGAATGAGAGAGCAAGTGAGAATAGATTCAGATAATTTTTTTTTTTTGTTCATTCTCGACATGCTATGAATATTTATTATTATTAGTTTCAAAACAAGTAGAAAAAAGGGGTGAATGAAATTTTTTCGTTTGTTTGTCGAGGGCTGTCCAAAATGATAATTATTAGTTTCACAGAGAGAGAGAAAGGGAAAGGGAGAGACTTGGTATGAATATATATAAAAACAACAACTACATCTACTCGTGCAAATCAAACTTAACAACGTATGTATGTCTGGATTCCCAAAAAAAATTCCACTTCATTTTAATCCTGAATTAAGCTTCAATGACCATAATGATAATTATATATAAATGTAAACAGATGTTGATTGAAACAAAAATTCGTCAGTTTTTTTCTCATTTTTGTAATATTCAATATTGAAAACGGATTATTCTCGTGTATTTGAATTTAATTTAATGATGAAAAAGTATTTTTTTGATAAAAAAGAATGAAAAACCCGTTGATACAAATTGTTATGCAATACGTATTAATGAATTGGGTTTTGAATGGAAATTTTTTTTTCAATGAGCTACGAATTTTCATTTCATTTCATTCATTCATTCATTCAAGTCACAAGATAATGATTGTGGTGATGATAACGTAATGTAACGGAGTAACGAAAATGATGATGATGATGATGATTATAAACTTCATTAATATTAATGGTCTATTATGGAGAAATTATGCAAATTTAACGATACATAGAGAGAGTGGAAAAACCCGATTCTAGAAAAAAAAGATACTTTTTTCGGATGAGCCAATGAAAAAAAAATGTCCAAAACATCGTTTGATTTTTTTTTTTTTGGTTCTTGAAAATTAATTTCAACACTTTCTTCGGATCTCCAAATTATTCATCAACATTGTCGTGCATCATCATCATTTATCAACGAACGTCGAACAAATTCTATCGAATCTAAGATTAATTGATCAGAAGAAAGGAAAAAAATGATGATTTTATTAACCAAAAATGTTAAATTTGTCATTAGATGATGAAATGATGGAAAAAAAGTAATTGATTTTCATCAACATTGTTGCCATGTTATCATGATGATGATGGCTCAAACGCAAAATGTGCCATGTGAAACAATTCATTGATCCATTTTTTCATCTTGTTTTTTTGTTTTTTTTCTGCATTTTGGGTTTGCAGACACATTTTGAAACATAATATTACTATATATATTGATGATAATTAATGAATTCAAAGCTAGAAAATCGATGGTAAAAAAAAGACGAATAATTCAAATATTCATCATTGTGCATGTATGTTTGTATGACAATTTCCTGGTTTTCGTCATCATCATCATCATCGATCAGAATTGAATTCAAAACAAATGGAAATAAACAAACAAAAAAAATAATGAGCATGAGAGTCTAGAGCCAGAATAAATTGATTAGTTGATGAATGATGAAATAAACAGAAATGAATGTAGATGTTTCATCGTGAAATATTAGTGAATGAATGTCAAATGTAAAAAAAAATTTTGAGAAATAACGATAAAAAACATTCAGTAAACAATTAAGTTTATCATTAGAATTTTCCACAATTGTTTGATGCAAAATTCTAATTACAAATTTTTCAAAAAAAAACAGAATCCGAGTGAGAATTTATTTTAAATTTAAATTAAGATAAGAAGGTTTTCATTTGAAAAAACACACGGAAATGCAAAATCCTATGATAGTCAATTTGAAATAGTGTAAATGAAATGAAAACGAAAAAAAAATAAACAAATATAAAGCATAGAATGGGTTTGTTTTTTCCTTTTTCTCCTACAGAATCATAATAACTCATTCACTCTATCAAATAAACTTTGGCGCATTTTATTTTTGTTTTTAACTAAATAAACAGAAAAAAAACAAGATTCTTGTTTGCTGTTGATGGTGATTTCATCATCGTCATTGTTTTGTTGATGTTTCATCGGAAAAAGTACTGAAAAAACTCGGCAAACTTTTAAACTGTTGTGTGTGTGTGTGTGTAAATTAGTGTTATTGAAACTCGATTAAAGTTTTTCTATTTCTATATATTTATTGAGTTTGCATTGTTTTATGTTCAAGTTTTTTTTTAACATTTCATGCAACACACACACACGCTCTTTTCGAGTGAAATCTAGATTTTTAAAACTTTTTTCTCTCTCTCACTCTCTTTAATCAAATTGCTAAATTTAATAAAATAAAAATGATAGACAAGATTCAATTTGATGGAAAATGAAATGAAATGAAATGATGATGATGATAAACTACGCTAAAAAAACATATGTGCAAGCGACACACACACACACACACACCGACGACGACGACGACGACAATTTAAATTTGAAATTAGTTCACGCAAAAAAAGGGTAATTTGATTCATTGGAATGTGAAAATAGATTTATATTTTGAAATCTAGAGCAGCGAACAAAAAAAAAATTCATTACAGAAATGTGAAACTTTTTACTTTAAAAAGCTTCTTTTTTTTGCAATGGAAAAAAAAGGTAGACGACGGTAATTGTTATTTTTTTTAAAGGGAATTTCTGAAAAAAAAGTTTACCAAGGGAATTTAAATTCTTATATATGTTGATTATAATGAATTTTTTTTCATCGAAAAAAGAATCTCAAGAATTATAGATTGGTCCACAGAATGATTTATTGATCAATAATTGTAAAACAAATTAAATCAAAAATTTTTTTTTCCAATTCTTTTTTCGAAATAAACAAATTGGAAACAATTTCGAGCATATAAATACGTTTATGCAGCCACAATGGAAAAAAACGACGACGACGACGACGTCTAAATCGTATTTGTTCGTTTTAGTTAATTGTTTAATTCGAGCCAAATCAACAGCCCACGATCATATGAGATGTCAAATAAGTTACGTTTAATATTATCTCGATTTCCTGGTTTACGACAAACAGCAAAAACGACGACAACAACAACAACAACAACAAAGACTACTGGCAACAACAACAACAACAACAATAATAATATTGTGGAATCAATACCAAAAAGTAATGGTAACCACATTCAAGAAGAAATGCAAGAAGTAATGAATAATAATGGTAAAGAAAATGATCATCATAGTAATGAAAAATCAATCATTGAAATTGATGGAATCATCTATCTGCCAAAACTTATTTCAATTAATAGCCTGAAAACAAGAACAAACACCATTGAAATGCAACGTGATTCGTGTTCAATATTTGAATATCAACGATTACAATTACCATTACCATCAATAACATATGCATTAATAGTGAATGTTTATCCTGATTTTAATGTTTCATTGGCTGAATTTGCTACGATTGAAAATGCATCGAATATTTTACATGGTCCATTAGTGAATCTAGTAAACATGTTTGTTCCATTTTTCCGAAATTTCAGGTAATACATAAAACTTGTTTTTATATTGTGCATACTGAATATTTAACTGAATACTACTGTTTTTTACAAAATATTCAATGATCATCATTGATAGACGTGAAGAAATTGTAGATAAAATTAGCAAATTACTTCAATGTTATAGTGATAATCGTGAATGGAAAGTTGCACATTTTGCTGCCCTTTTCAATCATGTTGATTATTTTCTCAATATAACAATCGAAGAACTTGAAGATCGTAATAATCCAGATCAATGGTCACCATTACATATAGCCGTATCATTGTCCAATATGTATATTGTTGGTTTAATGTTGAAAAGCGGAATGGATGTTTTCATTGTCGATTCAAATCATTGGACCGTAATGCATTTTGCAATGTTAGCATCACCACAGGTTTTGTCAACATTGTTGGAAATGTCAGCATTCTATCAACAGCTACGACATCAAGATCAGTATGGTATGACACCAATGCATGTAGCTTGTTTTTACCGAAATTCTCGACACATACGACATGTCATGATACAGGGCGTTACAGCACGTCAATTAACCATCAAAGCTCCTAAGCCATCATCATCCAAACAAATCAATTTATTAGATTGGTATCAGGACTATTCACCATATGTTCGTTTCGATGCTAATCAAATTGATCAAGATTTTGATTGGTCCAAAATAAATCTTTGTGGCAGTCCATTGCATTGGTGTCAATGTTGGTCAACAATGAATCGTTTAATTGATTCTCGGACATTCGATGTAAATGAACGTGATCGAAATGGTGATACACCATTAATGGCATTTGTAAAACGTTTGCCACCAATACGAACGAAACCAATTCGAATGATGAATAATAACAACAATGATACAACAATCAATGATATGACGAACCAAGTTGATGGAAGTTCAGTGATCACTTCACCTTCTAATCAATTTTCTACATCATCACTATTATCATCAACATCATCATCATCATGGCCAATGATTGTCAATTTTCATCTTAGTTGGATGTTACGATTAATTACAGCTGGTGCAAGACTGAATGCACGTAATTACGCAGGTGACACTGCACTTCATTTTTCGGTGGCCAATGGTTATATTATAACTATCCAATTATTATTGATTTTTGGTGCAAGAATCAATATACGTAATAAACTGAATCAAAGTCCATTACATTTAGCAGCAATAAAATTAAAACAATTACAGGCATTGGAACAAAATGATCGTCGTTTAGATGATAAAAATCAATCATCAAGAATGACAACAACACCAGAAACCCATAATCGACAACAACAACAAGCAGCAAATCGATCATCAACTAAAAATAATCGTTATATTGTAAAACAGAAACAAATTTATGAACTCATTATTAAATCATTGAAATCAATTGGAGCTAGAACATGTCCAAAAAACATTGCTGATTGTACAATCGATTGTCTTCATCATCATCATCATCATAGAAAATCTGAGGAAGAAAAGAAAAGAAAAAAACAAAAATCATCATCACCAAATGACGACGATAATATTAATGATGATCAAAAATTATTCCATTTAGATATAGTGAAAAAACCATCAAGACAACAACAGAAATCATCAACAACTGATCGATCTCATTTTGCGAACATAATAATATTGGATGGTGGAATCAATGATCAATTCATGAATCCATTGATACAGATTATTTTGCTTAATGAATTACAGCAATATTTACCACGATCGTTGCCAGAATATTTTGATATTATTGCTGGCACTAGTTTTGGTTTCACTACTGGATGTTCATTAGCTAATGGCAAGAAATTGTTTGAAATATTAAATTTTTATCTAAAATTAAGATCAAATTTTCGTAAACCATTAATACGAATGCAGGAACAAAATACTGATCGACTGGAACAAACACTGTTGACAATGTTCAATGATCCAAAAACATTGGCCGATATTCGGAGACAAAATAATAAACATCTTATATTGACTACAACAGTTGTTGATGATATACCAGTCAGATTGAAAATTGTTGATGATCAAATTGAAAATTTAACCATGTGGAAAGCATGTAGAATATCCGGTCTTGGTGCTGGCCTATTCAAAACAATCGAACATGAAGGTGTTCCCTATTTTGATGGATCATTAATTGCGCCGAATCCAACGACAGATATATTAAGTTTTTATCATAGTCAAATATTAGAACAACAAAAACAAAAAGATCAGACGATGTTTGAAAACACAACAAATCGTATGCTACCTTTTCAACTGGTACTATCATTGGGTGGCGGTAAAATTGCTTATCGTACAAATGTCACGCCAATCGATTTAAATTCATTCCGTTTGTATGCACCAAATTTACGGGTATATTTCAATTATTTTCGACAGCTAAGAGATTGGTTTGCAAGCATTCTGATGGAAACAGATGGTCATATCGTACAACGGTGAGCAGATTTTTTTTTTTTTTTTTGGTTGTTGTTTGTTTTCGTTAAGAAAGAATTTGAAACTAAAATCAAACAAACAAATTTTCCATACAGATCTCGTTATTTTGCCACATCGCAGAATATTCATTTTGGACGAATCAATGTTTACTATGATCGAAAGAAAGCCAAAGCTTTCCTACAGGAATTGGATAAAATAATCGGTCCATATTGGAATTATCCACATCAATCGATAAATCAAATTGAAACATATCAAACAATGCGTTCAGATCAGCTATTGTTGCAGATATTATGGCAGGTAAAACAACAATGCTATGAAAATCGTAATCAATTTAAACGATTGGCTAAATTGATGAAAAAAACCAGACAACATCAGCATCAACAACAACAACTAGGTGATTTGAAAAAAAATGAAACAACAACAACAATGATGATGAAAGTACAGATAAAAATAACTAATAATGATGATGAAACAAATACTAAAACAAACACGAGTATAATTAGTAAAAGTAATGTTGATGAATAATTTCTATCAATCGATTCGACATATTCAAATCAATCAATATCCTGAAAAATTTCTAGAACCCCCCCCCCCACACACAAACATAATAAAAAACAATAATAGCCATCATGAAGGAAGTTTTTTCTCATCTTTTCCCCTCTCGCTCAATAAAAAAAAAATCACAGGAATCACACAGACAAATAAACAATCAATTTCTATGATTGAGTCTATTGAGTTCAATTCTTCATCCCAAGAGAAAAGATTTTGTTTTTTTTCCATTTCATTTCATTTCATTTCAAACGAAAGTGGACAACAGCGATGATGAAAAACAAAAGAGACCAGAAAAAAAAATAAACAAAAGTGAATGATTGAGAAAAAAAAATTTAATTTTAAAAGTGGAAATACGGACAAAAACACAGACTCACTTGATAATCAATGAGAAATCTTTCTGTTTTTTAATTGAATTTTTTTTTATCAAGTTTCTCTGAAAAGTTTGGTCTTTCACGAAAATGATGAATGAGATAAAATCAACAACAAAAGAGAAAAAGAGAGTTGTATATATATATATATACATTGTAATCATTTTCAAGAGAATTTGAAGGAGTTTCAAAATTCCACTTTTCTTCATTTATTCTTTCTTGTGTGTGTTGTGCACAAGCACACACAATTGTTTAAACTCAGTGTTTTTGTTTGTTTTGTAAATATTTTTATTTTCAATGTTGGTCATTTCAAATGTTTTGAAATGATGCCACCACTTGAGTTTCACAATCGTGAAAAAAATGCACATTCACAAACACAAGTTCATGGAATTGCACAGGAACCAAACAACAACAACAACAACAGCAATCACATTTCAGTAAATTCTTCTAAAGCTTTTCACAGTCATAATTTTTTTTTTGATTTTGTTGTCATGTGTGTATAATATGCTATAGCTACAATTGAAAATTGAACAACAATAGAAATGAAAATGAATATAGTGAAAATAATGAGAGAATGAAATGTATTTAAGAAACAGAACTCCTTTATGAGGGGTTGTGAGCATTTTTTTTTTTTGCTTCGTTGCTAAATTCAATTTAGCCATTTAATCACCAAGCTATAATCGATTAATTAACTTTAGCTTTAATGCATACGAAAATCAGATTCAGAGCCATTAATTTGAATGTGTGTAATCATCGTTGAATGAATGAATTAAAAGTCCACGATTTTCTCAAAAGGAAAAAAAATGTTTATACACTGCAAATAATTGTCAAGATAAATAAAACAAACAAATGAACAAAAAAAAAACTACTCAGAATCTCAAGATTAACAGAATCACGCACATTCTTAATTCATAAAATGAATGAATAGACTAGTGAAAATAACAAATGAAAATGTGCAAAAAATAAATGAATGAAAATCAAAAAAAACACATAAACATATACACATACAAATGAATGTCAAAAACATCAATGGATTTTATAGTTTAACATCATCATCATCATCATCACTGCTGTCGAGTACTATAAATACAAATGTGCGCCCTGAACACACAAGAAAAAAAAACAATGTCAGTTTATACAATTTCCTAAATTCAAAATAAAATGAACGCGACAAACAAACAAACAAAAAAAAGTTATTGACTTTTTGACGCTAGTTTTTTTTCCCTACTGTTTGAAAATATTACAATGAAAATGAAATGAAAAACGGATGTGAATCATGAAAATAAAACACAATTTTAATGTCAACCAGAGTTTTTCTTTCATTTTTGATTGTTTTTATTTGTTTGTTTGTGAAAATGTGAATAATATGCAAATTAGTTTTTATATTTGTGTAACCGGAAGTTTCGAATATTCAAATTTTTTTTTGTTGTTTTTCAATAACGAAAGAGTTGTTGTTTGTGTTGCTTGAAATGGCTATTATAGTATAGTATATATAGCCTGAATCCTATAGGCAAATTTTTCTGTTTTTTTCTCTCTTTTCATTCACCGAATTTGATTTGAATTAGAATTTCAATTTCAATTGGATTCGATTGAACATCAACAACAAAAATGTAGAAAAACGGTAGGAAAATTGAAATTTTCATGTTATGTTTCTTCGTAACGATATTCAAATCAAAATTCACCAACGACGATTATGACGAAAAAAAAACGAATGACGACCGTTAGATTTCGTTTCATTTTTTTTTTTCGTTTCAATGAATTGAAAAAAAACATATCAAATGGAAAATTGAATTCAAAAAAATATTTTTTGATATACAAAATTTTGCCTTAGAATTTTTCTCGGCTACTCGATCAAGGCATAAAACCAATTAGGACAACGAATAAGAATTTTTCGCAGGTTTCACAATAAAGAAATTTGATCAGAAAATAAAAAATTCAATTTAAAATTGCTCACAAGAGACTGTATTTCAAAAATCTGTATGAGGCATAGAAAAACAGGCAACCAATATCCAAAATTCAATACAACATTGAGGAGAATAATTTCTTTTTCCATATGAAATCTCACCAATTTTTTATTATCATCAAACACTGCATAAAACACAAATTATTCATCATTGATCAAACCAACTGATTATTACCATAATAATAATAATAATTATTATTGCTATTATGTAACCGCACAGAATGTAAATCATCATTATTATCAATTTTGATTGAATTTAATAATTAATAGACATACAGTCTATAAATGAATGTGTGTAGCAAAAAGTGTAATTTTTTTTCCTGATAACAACACGTAACTATGGATAAAAAAAAATTCTATATTCGATTTCTTGCGTGTAGGTCATCATCATCATGATGAATTTTGTTTCAAATCTAATTCAATGTATGTGATTCGATGTATGTTAATCGAATCGAAAATATGTGTTGGACATGTTTTTTTTTCTCTATTCACAATTGTCACCATTGTGAATTCAATCATAGAGATAGATCTTTTCTCTCTCTCTCACTAGTAACAATCATCATAACGAAAATGGCAACACTGATGATGGTGAACTGAATAATAATTTAATGATCTTGGTGCCACAGTTAATTTGTTTCTAGTTTGAAAAGGAAAAAAAATCGTACGATGCCGGAACAGAATCTATTGTCATTGAAACACAGTGCTAATCCAAAATGAAAATTTTTCTTTTCCGTTCGTCAATCTATTATAAAATACGGTGCACACACACAATGATGGTTAATGATGATTGATTGGATATTATTCATATATAACGTTATCATTGAAAGCCACTTTGCCGAATGATGATTACTACTTGTGTGTGACAAAGACGAAGACAATCAAATAGCAATTACGTGTATGCTGTATGCTGTTCAAGTTGTGGAAAACAGAAAAAATTTTCAAAGAAAAAAAAATTCTAAACTTAAATGATAAACATTGTTTCAGGCAAAAATTTTTTTTTTTTTTTTTTTGATCACCAACAGACAAAGGAAATTACAGAATTGCAATAGTAAACAAAAAACCAAAAAACTTTTTTTTTCTCGAAATTTTCGAAAAAAAAACAAAAAAACAAAAATCTCTCTTTTTTTTCGCTTGCCTCAGTCAATATTTGAAAAACAAAATTCACGATGAAATTTTGGTCATTCGAAATGAAAATGGACATTTTGTTACTTTTATTGTTGTTTAGAATGATGGAAAAAAAAGATGTAAACGTCATCATCATCATCATCATCTTTATCTTTGGCCGTAAAACGACGTCAGAAAGTCAAATAATAAAATGAAAAAATAGACAAATCAAATAAAAGTGAATATAAACAGAAAAATAAAGTTTAACAAGAAAACCAGACCAGAACTTAAAAGGTTTGGAAAAGAAAAAGAGATGAAAATTTATCTCGATTTAATAAAGTCATTCATTCATTCATACATTTTTTTTTTGTTCAGTTTCACAGTACTAAGAAGCTTTTCTCTTGTTATCTAGATTATTTATAGCTTTTTTTCGATTATATATTACTTTATTCGGGTTAGTCAACATAATGAACAGAAAACAAATCATCAATCCATGATGATGATGATTATTATTATTATTATTGTTTTACAGCAATTCAATCTTTTATCGCACATATATTTCTAATGGTTGAACATTTGAAAAAAAACAAATAAAATAATGAAAGGTGTTTGCTACAGAGAGAAAAAAATGATGCGCTAGGCAATATTCTTTCCATTTTATGATATGAAAAATCTAATTTATATGTGATAGAAAGAGAGAGAGAGAGAGAGAATATGAAAAAGGTAAATTGAACAACAAATGTACTTATTTCTAAATAGAAACAGAATCTAGAATGGAAAATGAAGAAAAAAAAATGCAACAAACAATCATGGATAAATGTGGAATTTGAAATTGTGTGTATCATCGGTGCATGATCGCAACATAAGGCTTAGTGTGATAAATATATTTTGTTGTTGATCACAAAATAAAATGAAATGAAATGCAAGATTTTCTTTCTTCTTTTCTGAAAAAAAACCGTATGATGATGATTCTATGTAACAAACAAACATTTGTTGTTGTTGTTGTTGTTTGCATGCAACGGTAATCACACACACACACACACACATATACATCATCAGAATGGCAAAAAAAAGAAAATAAATCGAAAAAAATAAGAATAATTCTACTAGAATCATATCATCAATGTTGTTCGGGTAATTCAAGTTAATCGTTTCATTTTTTTTTTCTATATATTACTTTATTAAACGTATGTGTATCTGAATCTTTATTCTATTCCAGAAGAGAACAAACTAAACGATGATGATGATCCTTTTTTTTGTTGTTGTTGTTGTTGTTGTCTCGTTGTTGTTATTTATCACACAAACCATAAGCTGAGACAAATATAAATAGGTTGCAATAATGATGATAATAATATTATTACACACACACGCATAACCATAAATCACACATTGGGCTTAGGTTTTCTCTTGGTTGCCAGTATCATCATCATCATTTATATTTATTACCATTATTTTCAAATAGATTATTTGATTATTTAAATAAATATATATACGAAGGCGATTCATTCATTCACTCATCTACTTTTTTTTTATTCAGT